CTAACTATGGCTTCTAATGTCTGCAGTCCAATACTCTTCTCCATACACTGGAAGCAACAATCCCTTCCTTCTAGAAGCTATACTTACTCCACCTAAAAAACGATGGCATTTCAACAAGATTTGCAGTGCTATTCCATTTTCTTATTCCAGATCTCCTACAGGTTTAGGGTCCCCTAAATCAACATGATTCTCCCACAGTTCTCCCCTTGAAAGCTACGGTAAGGAAAGGTGGCACTCTTTACAAAAAGAAAACTGTTCAGTGCTGCCCTTAAGCTGTTTGAACCTGTGAGAATAAGAGCACAGTCATCCCCTTTTAGTAGAAGCATCTTCATGACTCAGAAATCCAGGAATGGTAAGTGGCTGTCTCATACTATGTGAGAAAGTTGGGCTGCACTAAGTAGAATAAAGCTTTTGTAAGGGAAGGGACGGAAGGAGATAAGAGATGCCTGCTAGCGTTCGGCACCTTGTTTCTAGAGCCTCTGAGCTCTAAAATGAACCTGTTCACCTAATTCTAGATACTTATGTGTTCTTGAGAATAAATGGCTACTAACTTTTCAACCTAAATTTGTCCAAGCTGGCTTCAGATCTTACAACCAAAGAGAGACTGAACGAATAAGTTTAGGCAACACTTTAGGCTACCACTATTTGAGAAAGAACTCTGATGGGTTTAGGGTGCTAGTTCTCCAGTTCTTTCGTGAGCACCCAACCCCAGCCTGCCTCCTCACCTGGGGGTGTGAAAACATGCCGTGGGTCATCCCAAAACCAGAACGAGATTGTGCACGTGACAAGCTCTAGGGGAAATAGAAAAGTCCATGGAAATGATTTCAAAATTAAGATAAAGGTTAGAATTATAGTGCAAAGATTATTTTAAAATCCTTCAAAATCATGTGACATGTACACACTTAAGTGTGCATAACATTTATGAATTCACATAGTGTATATCATGGTTCCAAAGATAAAAGGAACTGTACAATGTTCATGCAGCAGGGAAAGGGGGAGTGGAGTGGCCGCACTCCTTGATATATAAGGTTTACATAATCCCTGTCGATTAAAAATCAAAATATGTATTAACATTTCCAGTATGTTATGAGAAATATATTGCATACCTATCCTTACTGATACTTAAAATATGATGTTTTTTGGACATTGCTTAGTTTAAAGACTACAGGCACTTTAATGGTGTACATTGCACCTGTGTCTCTGACTGCAGATATAACCGATGCATTCTCTGAAGAGTTCTTTTTTTTTTTCCTAATTTTTATTTATTTATTTAGTTAGTTAGTTAGTACTTTTTTAGAGAAGGGTCTACAGGGTGTTCAGGGTCTCACTACTACACCAGACTCGTAGTGATCCGCCTGTTTACAGCCTCCCAAGCGCTGGGATTGCAGGCGTGCGCCACCACGCCCAGGCTCAACCTCTGTCTCAGAGCGCCTTGAGGTGGGGGGGGGGGTTAGCACTGCAGGCCAGGAGATGAAACCCTTGCCCTTGCACCTGCTTGCAGGAGCTTTAATCTGCTGAGTTATTCCGCCGGCCCTAATTTTTAAATTTTATTTATTTGTTTATTTATTTGATACAGGGTCTCACTACGCACTTCGGGCTCATAGTAATCCTTCTGTCTCAGCCTCCCCAGCATGGGGATTACAGGCGTGCGCCATTGTTGGGGGAGGGCCTTCAGGGGATCGAAACCAGACCGCCGCTAAGAGCCCGAGCTATCTCCCCAGCCTAAGAGGTTTTGATCAAATACATTGCCCCTGCCCTTGCCAGGGATCCCTGCTGAGATCTCACATCCGGTCCTGCCCACTCGCAGGAGGGGCTGAGCCTGCCGGCCAGGAGTGTGCACCCACTCCGCTCCCCCTCTCCCTGCGGCGTGACCATTGTACATTTCCTTTTATCTTTGGAACCAAAAGAAATCATCTTTTTTCAGAGTTGTTTTTCTATTATTATTATTATTATTATTAATTTTGCTATGGATTTTGAAATACTTTCAAAACAGGGAAGTTCTCCATCTCCTGCCTAACAGTGTGTATGGGCTTCTCACTCCAACTCAGTTTTCTGCGAAACTCCTTTCAAAGAAATAACTTAAGATGTTACAGGAGGATCAACCAGGAAAAGGGGCTGGCTGGCATTTTCGATGAATCTTTTATATGATTGGTTATAAAATAAATATATCTGAAAGAAAATAGGTTCGGCCAAATAGCACAGCGGATTAAAGCGCCTGTTTAGACAGACACGGGCCGGGAGTTCAATCCCCGAGCCTGCCATGACGGCCCCACCCTCGGGGCCCTCTGAGCTGGTGATCGAGACTGGGCGTGGTGGCATGTGCCTGTAATCCCAGTACTTGGGAGGCTGTAAACAGGCGGATCACTACCAGTCCAATCTACACAGTGAGACCTTGTAGATCCTGTAGAGCCTGTCCTAAGCATAGAAAGAAAGAAAGAAAGAAAGAAAGAAAGAAAGAAAGAAAGAAAGAAAGAAAGAGAGAGTTTCTCAAAATATACTTTTGTGTTAATCAAACAAAAAAAAAATGAGAGGACAATGACGGAGAAGTCAGCAGTTGAAAGTTGCAACAAAATTTACCAGAAAAAAATGGACAAAAATTAAAATATAATTAATCGAAAATGAAGAATAGGGCCGGGGAGATGGCTCAGTAGAATAAGCGCTTCCCTGGCAAGCTCAAGGGCCTGAGTTCAATCCCCGGTTCAGTCAAAAAGAAGAAAAAAAAACAAAAAAGAAACTGAAGAATAGAGACTGATGTGGAAAGCGCAGTTATATAGAAAATTACTCTTAAAGCATACTGAGTCCTGTTGGTCAGCACTTAGCCGTGTCTCTCAGTTACCGCCTTATTTTTTTGAAATAGGAACTTGAGTGCTGTTAAATGTTTGAACGGAGAATGCGCCTATGAATTTGAATGCTGTATAAATATATTTTAAATAGGACGCGGGATACCGCCGAGAAGAATCTGCAGCAGCGAGCGTTGAAAATTATAGGAATTTGCACTGGGCAGCATCCATGGAAACAAATGGAAACAAAGGGTGAGACTGCTCACGCTCATGCGCTTGGTGTCTCCGGTTCTGTGTTTCAGAGATGATTCATAAAATGAAGCCAGAGCTCGTGGTGTGGGCGTCTCTGTGCCTGCTGCTTAGTCTCAACCCTGCTGCCCTCACTACTGACTCGGAGGAAGATGACGATTACATGGAAACTACAGGTAAAGTACAAGGAACGTTTTCCTTTTCTAGTTGTCAAATCTCTCCATTAAAAGTTGTTTTAGATTTTCCATTGTGTAGAAAAATGCATTTTTATAACTAACATATCCGAGTGTTTGTTTGAGTGTTTGGGTTCTGTGGGACAAGCTCTCGTGCAGCCCAGGCTGGCCTGAAACTCACAGTGACCCTGCTACCCTCATCTCCTAAGAGCAGGGATTACAGGCGTGAGCTGCCTTCTGTGCCTTCTAGGTTTACTTTTAAACTAAGTTCCCGGTCAGGGTGCTTTTGTGGGAAAGCTTAGCTGGCACTGTTAAACACTGGAGCTGTTCTGAATGCTGCAAGATGCGGCACACTGAAGTCACAGGCCTCCATCTCCAACAGTGAGAAGGGAAAGACTCGAGTTCAGAGGCCACTGCCTTTCCCTCCTTCTTGCCTTTTCCTAAGGGAGACTTCTCCACAGAGTCTGTCAGTTGAGTCCCGCCGGGAAGGATATCAAAGGATCCAGTGATCAACTCCAACCCATAAAATGCTGAGTCTAAAAACGAAAACATTTTCAATGACAACATGCCAAGGAAATGACTGTACGTTGCTATTTTAGGGAAAAGGTATAAGCTTTTGTTAAAGTAAAATTGTGTAGAAAATTAGTAAACTGCTCATAGAAAAGTCAAAATGTCAGTGACAGAGAGAGAGCCCTAAGGCTATGAAATCCCCTAGCATTTGGACAGCAGCTGGTGACATGCACGTGGTTTCCACAAGTACACGCTTCCATAGATCTGGCCGCTCTTTAAAGTGATTATGCTCAGCACATTTCCCTTTAATGAAGACTAAACAATTGCTTATCTTGAGCCTGGAGCTGTATGTTTGAGGAAAACAGTGATGGCCGAGACTAGTTCCTAAGAATCTCAAAGGTTCATAGAGAAAGCCTAGCATACACAGAGGATTTCAGCATAGTCCAGGAAACCAGGAAATGAAGTGACACAGCAAGCAAAGGGCCGCTCTTGATGGAGGGAAGGAAGGGATGCATCTGCGCATGACTGCCTGGAAGCTGGCTGGGGAAGAGGGACTACAAAAAGTTCCTGGAGGTAGAAGTTGGTACAATAAAGTAGTAGCTATGAGGAGCTCTTTGAGATGTCATGAAATGAATTTTTGCCCTAATTGACATTCTCAAAGTGGAATGGAATGAAATAATGTCCCCAAGCAAGCAGTATGTGGACTAGGCATGAAGGCCTATGTAATCCTAGCGAGGCTGAGACAGGAGGATTTTGAAAACTAGAACAGCCTGAGAAATGTAATGAGATTTATCTCAGTGGAATGGAATGGAGTGGAGTGGAGTGGAGTGGAATGAGTGTGTGGTTCCGAATAAGTTCTCAGCTCCCAATGTCCTTCCAGTCCTGCTGCCCTACTCTGACTGGGGAAGAGCCTTCCAGTGACCCAGCAGGCTTCTGAAACTGTGGCTGCTGCTGCTCAATCAGCAACCAGAAACCAGAACTCGTCAATGATTAAGCCAAAGCTTACAGTTACTGTGAAGTTGCTTAAATCTATGCAGCTCTAAGGGAGAACTTTGATCCTCGTGTGGACTACACAGCTACACTGTTGTACCTAGTTTTCCTTTCGCTTCTGCTTTGTCTTTATCTTTTCATGTCCTAATCTCTCATCTGAATCAACTTGTCACGCGAACAAAGATCAAACCAGCCTTTCATAGCAATACATCGATGTGTGGAAATGTAGCACGATCTTTTATGGAAAAATTTATGGAATTTGACTACTTCTCTCATGGCAGACTTCTTAAAATCACCAGTGCAACCAGCAGGGAGGATGAGGTAAAATGAAATTATTAATAAGAAAAATAATAATCACAACAGAAAACTACTCTTTGAAGAAACATCCTTTGGACTTGGATAAATGTGACCAGCAAGAAGGAGTTAGATAAACCATCTTCTTAAGACTTAGAACCAGACCTGTGAGCCAGGGAGATAGCGCAGTGGCCTAGGCACCTGCCTGGCAAGCACGAGGTCCTGAGTTTGAACCCTTGTACAGGAGAGAGAGAGAGAGAGA